TTTTAACCAAAACAGATACAACTCCCAATTTCCCAACATAAGTTAGTCTAAAACACTGGCATGAATTTAATACTGATGTGGTTTTTATTTATTTTTTTGTTAATTCTCACTAAGAAAAAGTAAAACATTAATAAATAAAATATTAATCAAAGTTGTATGTTGAATTCACCTCTTGGAGACCTAAACCAGGAAAACCTAATCGATTCTTGTTAACCCCGGAGTGCCTGCAGACTCTAGACTAGTCAATGTTGGTGAGTATTTGAGTTACATTTTGCTGTAACTGGAGACAGAGAAGTCCTCATGCTCATTAACCCTTTTAGACGGCCCAGATTGCGCAGCAGGCAAAATATTTCTATTTTTCTATCAATATTTCATCACCAGCTCAGGACAAACAAAGCCAGGGGCTTTGACCGTAATGGTCCCATCTGTCTATAGATTGTCAGGACATCACTGTATGGGTGTCCTTTGACACCAGAAAATAAGCTTTGACATCAAGGTAAAATCCCCCCCCCATCATGCACGCACACATACACAAACACACACAGAGGAATCACGGATGTTAGTAAGCCTGGAAGGCAAAGAGTACCCTGCTTTTTTCAGATGGTTCCTTACAGATGGTCTCTTGATGTTGCAGCAGGAGATCGAGTTTCAGGACTACGAATGAATGAGCTATTAGGACCCATCGACTCCGTCAGAACACAAGCAACATTCAAACTCTTTGAAATAAAAAATTAATTCACAATTTAATCCAAGTGCTGCAAGCTGCTACTTCCCCTATAAAATAATTGCTTGATACGACTTTTTTCCATCTACATCCAGTCACACTTGATTCATATCAAGAGAAGTTTGCCAAAACAGCCTCACATGGTGTATTTGAGAACCACTCATCAATTATTGCAATATATCCTGATCCATCAGTTGATCCAGATGAATATAAAAACATACAATTGTTAATAATTTATCGATATTAAGCCAGTGGATTTTAGCATCCCGGCTTATCGTTTCTTAGGAGGAGGGTGACCTCATCATCTTTGCCCAGACCCATTAGCTTTCTGCACAGACCTCCGGGGATCTGTCCATTAACCTCTTATACCTACTAAGTAAAGGAGCATTAAGTGAAATGTGGAAACAAAACACACAATTGGCTGTTTATTAAGATATAAGTGAGCATTTCTAAACACAGGCATGTAAACAGAGTATTGTGAGAACCATGAGGCATTCGGTGAAATGAGGCGCTGAGCTGAAATTGAGCATTTCTGTGTGTAAATCGAATGAAATGTATCAAATGTTTTTGTGGTGCACTGTGGTATTTTAGAGGAAGTTGAAGGGAAACCCTTGAGAAAAAAAGTTGCAATTTTAAAAGCCTGCATAAGAGTTTGGTTTTACACATAAACCACAGTGAAAGAGAGCCACTTTGGCTTCTAATTGGTGGTAATTACCTTTTTCTGGTCATTGTTCCACTCTTATTGTGTTCAAGAGGAGAGGAGAGGTCAGTGAACATGGGAGACATTTCTACATTGACGGTCAGATGAGAAAGCCAGATTGGATGACCACAAAATGTTTTGATGGGTAAAAAAAAGGGCAGACATTCCTCTGGGCTTTGTTCAGAATTTTTTTTATAGCTTTTGTTGCTCAGAGAATAGGCATCATCATTGAAAGGTATAAGAAGCTGGAAAATCTAGAGCTTGTAGGATTTGAGGTTTTGCTTTAAACTCAGTATTGTTTTGCTCTCTTGTGCTTTAAAGAACTTAAGCCCTATGGTGTGAATGCAAAGCTGTCTGGTATTCAGTTGTGTTAATGTAACTAATTTTTACTACAACAGATTTCTGTCATGAAATTCTTCTTGAAGTGCAATAACTTGACTCAGAGGATTTCACCATATAAAAGATGGATGTATTCATCGGAAAACAAGTTTGATAGGTTAAGTTCCTGTCTTAACAATTTATAGGAATGTAAATTAAATGGTGGCTAAAGCAGATCTTTGGGGAAAACCTAAGTTTATTGTAAAAGGGGTTGATATTTTTCAAAGTTAAATATTTAGGCTCTAGAGTCAAATAAATGTTTTACTTAAATGGAAAATATCTACAAAGTGTTTTATATTTTTAAATGAAGCATATTGTGACAGATAAAGGGAAAAGAGGCATAAGGTGTAATAAATTACTTTGTGAATATGTAATATAATTTATTAATAAATACATTTCTATTTTTCAGGGTGGTTTTTTTTGGACCTGTAGCTGCTGCCTTGCTCCACTTTTATTATCATTTCTGAATGCTAACACCACAGTGGAATAAATATGACAAATTCTATTGACGATTTCTATGATGGCTTTTTTTTCATTGCCAGCAGTCCTAACCTGTCCACATCATCTCAGCAGGTCATGCACCTTGATCCTGAACAATAGCCTCCTTTGTATGTGCCCTTTTGGAGAGTGACAGGGACATGTTGGTTAGCCGACTTGGACTCCTGAGGAGACACGATCGCATAGGAGCGTCCATTAGGGCTCGGTCTTGTGCCACCGGCTGACTTTCATGTTGTGCTATTGTTACACAGCTCTCCCCTGAGAGGTGGATGCCGAGTGGGTAATGAGGGGTAATTGGTCCGGGGTCAAGGATGATTAATTCATTTGGTCAGGTGTTGGTCAGTACCTGGATACCTGGATGGCTGCGTGGGCAGGTAGGAGGTGGAACATGAGATGGGGTAAATGAATAGGGAGGTGGATGTGTAGTCAGGACAGAAGTAAGTGAGGGGGAAGGGAAAACAAACTATTCTCAAAACTGCATGGATTATTAGGTAAATGGAGCCCTTTGAGCTTCATCTGCAAAATGTATAAACAAAAAGCAATAATTTTCCCCCCTCCTTCAGTCTCACTTTCTGCTTACATCCAGGGTTCTGTTGTCTGATAATCCAACCATACTGAGAACAAATGTGCTGTAAAATCAGAAAATAAATTCCACTGGATCATATCTTTCCAGAAACCAAGTTGAAAGGTCAGCACATACGCTGAAGACAGACTGAATGTGATAGCCGTCCCCGGCCCTCCTGCCTCCCCTTCAGCTTGACTAACTAATCTGAATACCTCTCCTCCCATCCCCTCAATTCAAACCAGGCAATTTTGGCCACTGATTATCCTGAAACCTGTGTGCGCGCGACAGTAATCGCAGGGGCTTGGCTGGTAATTGACCAGGCAATGACTGAGACGCCTGCCGTGTAATTGAACAGGGGTTGAGGGGGCATTGCAGGACTGAAAGGGTCTGAGGGTTGCTCACTGCCCATTAGACCTGGCAGGGGGTCTTCTGCGCCTGTGGACTTCATCGTAAGGGTCACGGCGTATCGGGCGCTTCAATGCAGGACTGATACCTTTCGGAGTAAGGGAGTGGCAAAGAGGCAGCTGTGAGGGGTCAAATATCACAAAGCAGCAACTTTTTATAACACCTAAAAATATACAGATCAAACACAGCAAGAGTCTTTTAGATTAGATTCATTAGTTTATCAAGAACAGCACACAGCACAGCCTTACTTTGTTTGCATTTATTCTACCCATAGTTCATCTTAAACATAAACTGTCACTACATGACCCAAATTCACTTTTCCTGCTGTTCAGAAGGAAACTGGGCGCCACTGTACAAGCATTTATTGCAGACTCGAGTCATCAATTTTAGATCATGTTAAATTAATCTAAAATTTTTAATTTCAGAATTCTGTCTTTATACTCAGAAGTCTTTTTTTTTCCAGTGGCTAATCCTTATTCTTAGAAATAGACAAAAAAGTAAATAAATAAATCACTTACTAACAATCATTGTTTCCATCAATGTCATGACCAGCTTGTGGCCAACTTCCATCCACCAGTCAGAGCCTGTTTTGTGTCTATTTTGTCCAGTTCCCCAGAATTCTGTTGTGTGTGTGTGTGTGCGCACGTGTATTTACTTTTTTTTTTTGGAAAGTAAACAACAAAACCAAAGGCCGAGTTTGTGTGGTTTTAAGAATAGTGGGTTTGATTATTGTGAAGGAGACCCTAATGATTGACACTGCTCTCTGGAAAATCAATGATCTGCAGTCCACAGATGTCAAATCTTCAGATCCACTTGGCTCGCTTGGACTATAGGTCCTAAGAACTGAGGGGCACGTGGGTGGGCTCATCAGACCTAACGGAAATACTCAGAAGCTAGGCTAAGTCAACCCATGTAAGTCCATGTCCAGCCTATGGAAAAAGCAATAAAATTGTAATCTTCTTGCAAATCATTTGTTTTTATTTGAACTTCTAAAGGTTGCAAATTAGCTTTCTTTATTTGCATCAGAGCACTTCTTTTTCGTTCTTAGCAAACAAATAAACCTGGATGAATGATTAGTTTGTGTCAGACTAAGTTTAAGGATGTTCTTTTGATTTAAACACCTTGGTAGTGTTGAACATTTCTGGTGAAATATGTTTGAGGCTGTCTGCTGTGAAGGATCTTATTGTTGGTAAAAGTACCATTGTTGCATCTTTTTGAAGTCTGTGGATCAGTCGTATTATTGCTGGTTTATTCTGACTCTTAAGTGTACTAATTAAAAAAAAAGAGGCAAGGCTCCCCATACCACATCTTTGAGCACTCTGAAAGAATTTCCTGTGTTTGCTAAATATGTGGACTCCAAGCTGAGCAGTGAAATATACATATATGGCCAATTGGTTTTCCTTCCATTTGACTTTTACCATCTGAGCTCAGAAACGGCCTCATCACTTCCACTCCGCTGGGCCTCAGTGATCACTGACATCTGTGCCAACCTCCATCTGCATGTTGTAAATATGATTCAGTGTCCTCTAGGTTTAGCAGGTATGGCTTCAAGTTAAACAGGCAGGTGTTAATCCATGAACTTTACACATTCCTATGGTTAGAAATGGTCATGAATTAGGTTTTGCTTGTAAATGGATAAATTCTTACTTTATATTATTCATTGTTTTGTCAGTATAATCTTAGTATTCCATATATTGACTTACTGATACCAAAAATGAGTGAATAAAACATTAACAAACAGATTTTTTTACTATGCATTTATGAACAGTATATTTTAGAACATCTGGAGATCTGATTTAGACTAATTCTGTGACATTTTTTCTTTTCTTTATCACCTGAAAACCAGCTAAACACTACGAAGTTTACATTTGTGATGTTAATACTACCTACACTAAACATTAAGGCTATAGGTAGACAACAGAGGCACAAAGTTTCAACTCATTTGTGTTTAAGATGAGAAGATGAATCACAGAGCTTCAGTGGTTACTGTTTGGCGCCAGAGAAACCCTGCAAGCGGTTGTGCTCCCTTAACCTGTGGAAGAATTAAAAAAAAATTTAAATATGGCATTCTTTAGGAACTTCTTCACGTTGGGAAATGTGTTGGAAGATTTATGCGGTGCTAACCTGACAGCGTTTATCCGGATGAATCCAGAGGCATCACATGGGTCATAGTCTCCCTGAACGTCCATGCTAAGAAAAGATGAAAATAAAAAATTGAAATGAAGGCATATGAAATCAAATCTTTAGTTAGTAAATGGAAACACTCAAGAGCAACGAAGAACTAATATAAAATGAAAAAAAAAAGACTAAATGTTATGGGGTTACTGCAGTAAATTTAAGCAACACAGTCTTTTAAACTACTGGGATACCTGACAAAATGCTCTTTGGAAATAATGTTCTGATTGATTTTCCTCTGAATGCGCTCATTTGGGACTATTTGTCCTGAGCGATAGAGAATCAATACAGCAGAATAAAATGTACTGTAGTGCACAAAACTCCTTCAAAAACAATCATATCATATCAACTGCGAGCCACTTCATATGATTTTGTAATCTGATGTTTGTCTTCTAGTTTACCCACTTCTTCTTCTAAAAAAAGTCTTGAATCTATAAGTTGTGTCTAACGTTGGAGCCGTTCTTTGTGTGAACACCTCAGCTTAGTGTCTCAGAAAGACTGCTGCGTAATTACAGCAGTTTCTACCTGCAGTGTTTAATACACTCCCTTACCGAGTCCTCTCCTCCCCGTGATACCCCCAACTCCCAATGTACCACTCCAACTCATTCTTTAAAAGCACTTAGCAAAAGAGGAAATTGCCAACAAATGATAGGATAAACATTATAAAAAGAAAGGCCGACAACTAAATCATCGACTCTCAATACAAGGCTCCCTACCCGGCACCTGAACGCCATTATGAGTGAGCGGCCACAAAGAATATATGTGTGTGTGTGTGTGTGTGTGTGTAAGCATGTGATTGTGTTTTCCTTTAAGAAACCCTGCAGTCTAATTGAGAGTGAAGCTGGTTGAGAGCGGGGAGGGTGACATTTCTGTCTCAGGCGGGTGCGGTGACGGGTTGTATTACCACTGTGTTAATGACGCCGTTTACTGTTGCCTGCGGAGAACCAACAGGACGTCAGCGGGGGGTTCATGCCTAATCTGCTCTGTGTGTGTGTATGACTGTGGCAGGATTTCATGTTGTGGAAAATGAGTGTAAGCGTGAGAGACTGCTGCCTTCAGGTGTATCAGTGCCAGGTATCAATCAAACAACAACACAATACAGCAGAATTAAAAAAAAATCTGAAATTTACCATACAGATTTATATACAGTTACCTGTTGTTCTACCATTAAAAAACAATCTATAATAATCTGTATTAATGAGAGATGTAACTGCTGTAAAATGGGAGGGATGTTCAGTTAAAGTATCAATTCTTTCATAAAAACAAATATCCAAACCTACACGTTTTTTTTCTGAGGTCAGAGATAATGTCACTTAACGCTACGCTAACCTTAAGAAACTTCCTGGTTTCATAAAGGGTAAATAAAACATAAATTACAGCTTCTCAGATCTTGAAATATGCTGTTTGTCCTCTCTTAATGTCTAACAGTGAACCTAATGTTTTAATTACTTTTAAAACTTTCTGAATAACATTGGATTCTACATCTGTTGGTAAATCTTTCATTAACAGTTGTGTAAATCAGGACTATTCAAGCCACGGCCACATCTGGCCACCAATGTTAAAACTTACCTCTTTAAATCTGCATTTGTTTAAATTTGCTCTGTCTATTTTTATTTTTGTATGTGTTTGTTGAAGTACTTTGTGATCCCTACCTTGAAATGTGCTATATACAGTAAATAAAGTTTTCCTTACTTACTTACAATGTTAAATAAATATTCTGTTACATACTCCAGTGTTTCACCTACCTTTAATGGGCAACGCCCCCCACACTGTCCCCAGGGATGTTTGGCCCCTGAGCTGTTGTAACTGTGGCCCCCTGAGTAGTTGAATAGCCCTGGTGTAAATATTTTAACTAGGAGTGTCCTGATACCAGTTTTTGTCAAGCTGAAAACAATTCCTTCAGTTTGGGTACTTGCCAATACCAAGTACTGATACTGTGTACTTTCTGAGTTAGAGCTTAAACGTTACACAGTGACTTTAAAAACACATTTCTTTTATTTAGAACAAGGTGGCTCTCCCTCTTTAAAGGCCTACAGCTCCTCTGACGGGATCAGATCAAATATACAGCATGGTATATACTGTTACAAAATAAATTAGCTGTTCTTTCAATTATATAAAATTCTTAACCACAGAACTGACAAACATTTGACTTGAAATGTAAACTGTAATACATTCAGTGGAGTATCATTATTAAAGGTACTGATACTGATATTGGTTGATATCGGGGCATTTTGTTCAAGTATTGCTAGTTTTAATTGTACACAAGTAAAAACTCATCCAATCATAAATGAGTATGGGTTTGTAGAGTGTGAAAGTACATGATGCATGTGTTTTAAGTTTGTAATGAACCTCTTTATCAGAAACTAATGTGCTCAGGCCCAAAAAAAACGTTGTGATTTATGGTTACAAGTTGAAAAAAGGAAAACAAGAGCTGTGCAAAGATTATTTACCAGCTTCATGTTGCTCAGAAAAACTATACTATCACAGGTTAAAGAGCTGATTGGGATCAAATACAGTTTTTCTGGTAATGTCTTTCTCACAAAACAGGCACCATTTCTAAAAGATATAATACTGTATTTTACACTTGCCAGACGGGTATGAAGGACTGTGTGAACCGTGTGTTTGCCCCACAACGTTTTGACCTGCTTAACTACCATGACACCCTGGTACTTTTCTCCTAAAAGCCCAGTGAAATCACCTCTCTGAAGGAGCTGAAAACACCATTAGCTTTCTGACTCTAGGGTAGAAGTGGAGTGTGTGCGACTTAAGTGGAGATGCTGAGACATATGGAGGGGTTTTTTCCTTTGGTCAGTGCTGAGCCTGCCCAGAGGGCATCGAGGGTCAACCCCCTGAACAAACCCACTGTTACTGCAGCTAAAGAGGGCATAAGGGGGTGCTGCCCTGCAGCGACTGGGCGCAACACTCCTCTGATGTCTTTGTGAGGACAGGGTCAGTTTGGTGTGCTGACGTGGGGGTCATCGGAGAGCTTGAGCGAGCCGATTGGTGAACAAGTGGAATAGCTGCACTGTGCCCTGAGCGGCGACGCACATCTGTCAGGTCAGAACAAACGCACGCTTTGTTTTCCAAACACCCCCCCCCCCAACACACACACAGTCATTCCACGCTCTGTTTACCTGACCAGCTCCTCGTTGTACAGGGACTTGGGAGACTCTCGTCCCAGGATGTAAACCTGACCCTTGAAGACAGACAGCTGGACTTTGCCCTCCACATTCTCCTGGGACTTGGCTATGCAGTGTCGCACAAAGTCACACTCTGGACTGTACCAAAATCCTGTAACAGAAGGAAAAAAAATCTGTTTAAATGTAATTTTATGTGCAAGTATGACCACTGTGACAGGAAAAATAATGTATCCGAAACCAAAGGAGGGAAGTGGTACTCTGAGACAAAGCTAAATGGTCTAACATGAAAAAATGATACATTATTATTAATTTAAAAACTCTAAAAAGACTAATCTAATATTCTATGAAAATATAGGTGAATCATTTCTAAACAGAACCCGAAAAATCAGGTCCTAGATCCTCTTTTTGAACAAAGAATCTTATTATTCTTATCTTGTCGCATTCTCATAGATAAGATGCTAGGTTTGTCAGCTCTTTTTGTTTGTTTCACCTTGTTTTCATTCTTAATTTAAAACCAGATACACAAAATTGAAGTCTCATTGTTTTTGATGTTGATCATCCTTCATTACTATAGCGTGTTTGGGATTATGGATCAAGGATGAATACCGGGCTGATCCTACATCATTAAAAAGATTTAAAATGTTTTAAAAGCACAAGTGTTTTACAATACTGTACAATACCACAAATCATTGTGTTGTGCAGTAATAAAAACAAACAAAAAAAGCTCTTCTTTATTAGAAGAGCTTTTCTGTTTCAGGTGAAGTTCACGCACCCCTTTCTTCTCTTTCATTCCGGGGACCTGAACCATCAGTTCCTGGGACAGATGGGCAAGGGATGTGTCTATATGTGTTCAGAGGTCAGGCACACCCCACTCAGCAGGGGGTCTGCCTCTCATCAGTGTCTGACCTCCACCTCATCGTCTGGCCATGTTCAAAGACACAATGCTCCGCCGCTTTTATTGCTTCAGAATTGGCATCGACGTGTTGGAAATGACAATTGAACATGGGCCCTGTTGGACTTCAAAGATAGATTTTTATTTACATGATTAGTTTTGTTTATGTCCCCAAGTGTCTGAATGACTTGTCAGATTTCAACTAAATTTACTTTTTATAAAAAGAAATGATTAAAATCTGTAATATAAAATAAAAAAAATCTCAGAAGAATCACTATCACATGGATTTTAATTGACTAAGCAGGTATTTGACGTCACACGTATCAAATTGTTGTTGCATCATGAGCAGCAGATAATTATTGTCTAAAAATGGTTTGGTTTGCTGTAAACAGATGCAGGACAGGTGGATTGTTAACATAAGCCCCCTACTACCAGCCGCCTGCAATATGCAATTATTAATGATTTAAACTCACAATGGGTTTAATCTCTGCCCTGCTTCTCAAGGTAGCACCTTTATGTCTCCCCGTCTCTGGAGGGTATAAGTGAGGCGGCCTAGCAGTCGGTCTGTAATGGCACTGATCCTATTATGTGGATGAAGGTGCAGACGACTGGAGACTTGGCAGAAGGGAGGGGATTAAGACACCTGAGCCTTGAAAAGCTCACACACACACACGTGCAAACACACTGAGCAAGCAGGGGCGTAGCATTTATCTGTGGCATGCTTGTTTCTTTCTTGTACGAACTACGAAATAAGTGCACTGACGTCAGCGAAGACGGCACATTTGAAGCACTTACCATTGTACACGAGTTCCGAGAACTTGATACCCAGTCCCTGTTTGATCCTGCGAACCTCTTTGTCCATGGTAAAAGTCTCGATGTCCAAATGGGCCTGCAGCAGAACCGTGCCCCCTGGAGTTTCGTATATTCCTGACAAATTCAGGAAAAATAAATCAATAAAAAGAAATTACATTTTCACAAACCGCAACAGTAGGAGCTAAAGCGATCTGCAACAAGTCAGTAAGAGGATTTACGCATGCTTTAAAAGCCAAAAATGGATGTTGTCAATTTAAAACGTTCAACGTTTGTTGCTATTTTTATCCATTTATAGCCCACAACCTTATTTTAAATGCATATCAAACAACCTATGATGCTGTGATTACTAATCGTTGAAGGCCATTCTCAGGTATATGAACTGGTTTATTTCAGGTAACTGCATCAAACAGATCTATTAGCCATTAGCTATGGGACTGACAGGTCTTTACAGTGCTCACAAAATGTGGACAAGCCTGTCCTGGGTAAATGACAGGTTGGGAGGCCCCTGCCAGTCTGGAGTCTGGACCAGGGCTCTTCCTACCCTGCAATTTACCCCCTCTGGACAAGGAGGGAGGGGTGACAGAAGAAAAGATGAGGTGCTCGACAGGAGAAATGAAGCTGTCACTTAAACGTGAGCAAAAACAAAAGAAGGACAGGGTAAATGCTGCAAGGCAGATATGAAAATTAAGAAAAAAATATATTTTAGTGTGAGAAGTAAACATTTTGGAAAGGTAAGAGCTGTAATACTTGGTTTCTCACATCTTCTACCAATCTGAATGACAGCCACATTTTCTACTTCAAGCCTGACAGCCAAACCAACTCTCACGTGAGATTTTAACAATGTTTTAATCTCCTCCAATCTAGTGAGAAGTTAAGCTCAAATCTGTACAACACTTGAATAATCCAGTCCTGATCTGAAAATGTTGTGCTGGTGGGCAAAAAGGCAGCTTAGTGATGGTGCTAATTGTCTGAAGCTTCAAAAGACTGCCACCTGAGCTAAAAACGGCTCGTGGCTTTTTGGTCTTCCGGGGCCATAGAGGGGATGCAGGGGGCACCTCCTTTGTCTCGATCAGATAAATTCAGGTAAAACTGCCCTCCAACACAACTTGGCTTAAGAGCAACAAAAGGAAATGTGTCAAGGATTGGACAATTCAACAGTGGCTTTTTAGTTGGGCTTAAGAAGACACAACCCTCTGTGGTTTTAGAGGTTTTACTCTTTTCTTACAGTTCCTGCAGGCCTACAAGGCTCCAGGACAGGATTGAAAGCTTCCTCAGATGATCTTCTAACTTTTTGTGCAAAACAAGAGCATAAACAGGCAGCAGATGTGTTTATTTTATTTTTTTTAAATGAAGGGGGAATAATTAGAACACAAAACTTGTGTTTTAGTGTTTTATCTAATATAATCTCCGCTTTCAAATTTAGAACAGCTTTTAACAAGTGTTTTCGTGCCACTTTTCTGGAGTTTCACTGCGGTTTTGACATGTTCGTCAAAAGACGAAGTCGTTTCCACCCGCTTCCTATTGAGGCCATCACCGGAGCACGAGTCAGAGGTCTGACAGTCCTGTGACAGGTGGGAAATGTTAGTCTGGCACTGAGGTTATTCACTGTTTTGTAGCGCAGTGACAACATTCTTGACAGACCATTTCGGTCCCATCCACCTCCTCGACCTCTCACAGAAAAATATGACCCAACACAAATAAGTATGACATGTCCCTGTTTGTAACCTCCCATCATCTATTGTGCTAACGCAGCTGCTGTTCCAGAAGAGACCAGCACATCCACTCGATGGTAGTTATTCAACCACTCAGCCACCTTGTGCTCCACCTCTTTGCGTTGCTTCGGAAGAGGAAACGGTTTTGATCTTTTGTTCAGCTGAGGAGAGAGAAAACTGGGCTTCCCATTTTCCAATTTCTACCTGCCAAGTTGCTCCGCAGCCGCAGCCCACCGGCCAGTCAATTTGCCAATCATAGCCCATAGTGTGGCAGGGATAGAGGAGTCTGTGTGTGTGTATGTACTCATGAGTGTGTCGTGCAGGACCTTGTATATTCACTGTAGAAACACATGTAGAGACATAACAAAGAAGCTTTTCAAGTTGTCTGTTGATGCCAAAGATAAACAAACAAAAACATCCAGTGGAACATCTTTTTTTTTGTAGTACAGAAGATATTTGTTTGTATGCGAGTGAATAAGTGAACAGAAGTAACTTTGATTCCAGATGAACCAGAGAAAAACACCTTTCCTGAGCAGAACGTGTTCAAGTTTATAGAAGCAACAGAGAGACACCTAAAGCGATCATGTAAAATAACTGCAGATTGCATGAAAGTCCTGCTGAATGGAAGGCTTTTGAAAAAGATGTAAAGTTAAAATACAGAGAGAAATATGAAAATACAGATAAACTGGCTGTGTAAAATAAAGGAACAAATCTGTCAGAATAAAGGGAATAAAACAAACTATTTACTTCCTTACCTCGTGACTTCATTCCAATAAAACGATTCTCTACAATATCAATCCGGCCCACTCCATGCTTTCCTCTAAGAGACAAAGACAGGTTCAATGGTCACATTCACATAATATTGTGAGCTTCATTTTCCTAAATCTGCACAAAAAAAGAGTTATTATAAGGGGCCTTTTAAAAAATGTTTTATATTTTACTATCTTGTGAACTTTTAAATCTCTCTCTTCACAGGTGAACAAGGAGGCACAAGCAGTTTGGGGTAAAGTGAACGACTCCTCAAACAAACTTACGTTTGTTGGGATAAAATTCCGACAAGGTGTGAGCTGAAACGTTACCAGCACCAGCAAATTCTTAACAACTGGATACTAATGTAAACAGCCATTTGAAGAGACCTCGCCTGTCAGTAAATGTGTTTAAATCTTAAAAATAAAACTCCTGCAGTCAGATTCCACTAAACCACGAGTCAGTGGTTCCTGGTGCCAGATGCTAAAACATGCATGAAAAGCTTCCCCTTCAACTCATCATCCCTGCGGCCTGAGAGAAACATAACATGTATTTTGATAAATCTGCAGTAATTTGTGAGGAATAACTCTTTATCGTCCAGTGTGTGCAAGCTTAAATATATCTAAATTTACAAAAACCTATGCTGTTATAGGGATGTTGGTCTTCAAATGTCCTTATCAAGTATTTAAACTAGTTTGAAGCAAAAGAAAAAAATCAAAATCAATCTAAATGAATACAGTTTATAATATGGACAGTATAGAAAACAAAACAGAACTAGAGGAAAATCTATTGTTGAAGTTTGAGTTCAGCGAGATTAAAACTGATGTTGATTAATGAACTGAAATTTTAATAAAAAATGAAGTTTGGACCAATCACTACTCACAGTTATTAGTTATCTGAGTGGAAGTCTTTCACTGCAACTTTTACCACTGAAGAAAAAAGCTAAATATTAAATTTTTGTTGTTTTTATTTCAGTTATTAGTGAGTAAAATGAGGACTTTACATGTCATTTTGAGGCTCACTAAAGCATGTGCTTAAAAAATCTGAACAAAACCAAAAAACCCTTACCCTATCTCATTGAGGTATGAGAAGATCTCCAACGGCGTGTCTTTGGATTTCCCATCTTTCACATGGATCACCTTGACTGGCACTCCTAAAACAATAAAATACATTCATTTTTTATGCTGAACCCATTTCTTAATATAAGATGTTTTAGTAACTCTGGCATGAAAAGTGGAGGGTGATATGCATTCTTTCAACCAGTTTCCAGGCCTGGATTTTAGGTTTTGCTTTAGCATTTCTTTTGTCATTAAAAGTTCAATTAATTAGTTCTCAATAACTTAAATAAACCTAAAAATCTAATTATTTTGTAGACTCTAAATTTTTTCAAATGTATGTAATGGTCTGGTTGTTCTAGAGTAAATCACTAAGTTTTCACCAAGATCTGATAAACAAAATTAACATTTTGCAAATCAATAGTTCTGTCAAGAAATATCTCAAATTAGTACGTAATAAAAAGCTAAAATGGAATATATAATTTTAAAAAGTGTTGATTAATTCTGCTGATGAGAGCTTCTTGTTTCAGTTCGAGATCCACAGACATTTACCTAAAAATAATGAAAACCTTCACAAAGGCGATGGTGGAAAAAGAAGGCTAATAAATTCAAAGGCCCTCCTCATTTGAAAGCTGTGAAATCGTGGGCAGGCCTTTACCTAATTCAATTACACATGCAGCTTTGTTACCCGTCCTCCTTTTAATGCCGAGACTTTTCTTTTTTTTCTCTCTCTCCTTTTTTTTTTGAAATCGCTAAGTGTTTGTGTGCTCATGTGCGTGTGTGGAAGAAACAAAAGCACCTGCAGATCCATCACCCGCCTTCCTATTACCGCGTCTTAAAAAACACGAAGAGGATTTAATTTTTCCTTTAAGAAGACACCCACATTCACTCCGCACACACTTCCTCTCTAAAGCCACTTAAACTTAGAACACATCAATCACTGTCACGGAGCTGCTTATTCATGGCCTTGAACACGAGCCAAAGGTTGAGGCGAGGAAACAGACGTGTGAGAAGCGTTGACGCAAGGTGGAAATAAAAGTAAAATCTATCCATCCATCCAAGCTGAGTTCCATACGTACTTTATTATGCTTACAGTTGTCAGTCAGACGGCTTTGAGGAGAAGAGGACCACTTCTGGTCACCTTTCAGGCACTGTTTACAAACCTCCAATATGAATGAATGGCATGTGAGTGACTTGACTAATTTCTCTAGACAAGGGCTTTGTTGATGGCCTGTTTTCATGTCACGGGAATCCCGATGGCTCCCACAGAAGAAGAAGAAAAAAAGGTTGTTCCCAAACTAGGAGAAACCTCCACCCAGCCTCCCCCTCCCAGATTTTTAATAATTAGATTAAAAGTTTCAATAAATTTAGTGAAAGTCTGAACGTGGGAGAGTTGGCCTTTCATCTCCTGACTCGCTCTTTCCTTGCTCTGTCCACGTTGCAGGTTCTATCATTCACCGAGGGGTCTTTCCCTACTCCTGATCCCCCTTTTTTTTGCGGTTTTTGCACCCTAACAGTGCAAACAATGGGAGCGCAGACACAGTTGTAGGAAAAATTACTGCTTTACATTTTTCCTCCTCATTTCTTCGGCATGACAGGAGGGAGGCATGGATTTTTTTCTCTCCCCCCTTTAAAAAAAAGAGGAGAGTAATGGTGGAATGGACCGTTTGACGAGGGTAAAGGTTCCTGTTGTTATATATTCTTTTTTAATCAGTGAGAAAACTTTGGTGAGAAAGGCAGGGATGAAAAGGTGGGAGGGGGAATGAAGTGAAACATTCTTGTGCTGATCTTGTGCTCAGAGGGAGGAGTGGGCTTGGGCTTTTGTGTGGACAACTAAAACAGCTTTTGTCATAGCACGCTCAATAAAAGGACGAAGAATATGTGTGAAAATGGGAGTTCAGGGCCGCGAGGAACCCGCGAAACCAGTCGAGACTTTACTAGTGCGCCTGTTTTTTTTTATTTTTTACAAAAGCACATCACATCCCCAGCCGAACCAACCCACTTGTTTTTGTTGTTAACATTTTCTCTCAGAAACTGGTAAAGTGAGATCTAAACATTGGCAAAAAGGAGGTATTTTAATTTGTAATTAGACCTCACTTATTCCACATGATTGTTAATCCTCCCACGGCAACTTTTTTGGCAAACTTTTGAACTTCTCTAAATTTACGACTATGGCTCGTAAAGCTGCCCATCAAGCTCCGCTTGATCAGAGGAGCCAGTGTCTCCCTGCCGATTGATGTTCTTGTGCTTCCCTGGTGACCAGGGATGAAGGAACATCTGTGTCACTTGCCTCAGGCATGGACGTGTCCTGCCGTCTTCTCTTTGCACAAACATGTGACACTTTCTAGTATTCAACCCTGGAGCCTTGCGGCAACATATCTAATGAACATTTCTCTGGCTCTTATGGGCTTGGTGTATTAGCTGGAGTTAATGCTTCCAGCTTGTGTGTGTGTGTGTGCAGCCCCAGGCCAAACATGGCAGTTTTCTGGACTGTGTAAAGCTGTGAGGGGTTAAGGATAAGCCTGGGTGGTCAGAAGTGGCGACAAAGTGCACGAGGTCAACCTTAAAGCTGCAGCCCTTTGGTTGTGACCATCACTGTTGAGCTAAATGAAGAAATCTGGACAAAGAAATCACTTTGCTCAGTTAAATGTTACCAAAATTATTTAGTTTTTTTTTCTTTCACTATGAACCTAAAACATTTTTCACTTCACTTCAGTCTCTGTCTACATTCACAGTGCAGGTCTTAATGCTCAATTCAGATAAAAAAAATCAGATTTTTTGGGGTGAATGTTCACATTACATTTTAAATGCGACCTGCATCAGACTCCAGTGTGAACTCTACACGGTACTGATGTGACCAACATGTGCAGAAATACACGACACTGCACTCGCTTTGAAAAACATCACATATGTATCAAATTAAGTACCACATAATGAAAAGGCCTGGGTCAGATTTTCAAAAAATCGGATACGTCTCTGAGCCTCCCTGGTAAGGTCTATTCAGGGGTCCTGGAGAGGAGGTTACGTCGGATAGTCGAATTTCGGATTCAGGAAGAGCAGTATGGTTTTCCTCCTGGTTGTGGAACAGCGGACCAGCTCTACACCCTCAGCAGGGTACTGGAGGGTGCATGGGAGTTCGCCCAACCAGTCTGCATGTGTTTTGTGGACTTGGAGAAGGCGTTCGACCGTGTCCCTCAGGGAGTCCTGTGGGGGGTACTCCGGGAGTATGAGGTACCAGGCTCATTGATATGGGCTGTTAGGTCCCTGTATGACTGGTGCGAGAGCTTGGGCCGCATTGCCGGTAGTAAGTCGGACTCATTTCCGGTGAGAGTTGGACTCCGCCAAGGTTGCCCTTTGTCACCAATTCTTTTCATAACTTTTATGGACAGAATTCCTAGGCGCAGCCGAGGTGTTGAGGGGATCCTTTTTGGCGACCTTAGGATCACTTCTCTGCTTGTTGCGGATGATGTGGTCCTATTGGCTTCATCAGATCCTGATCTCCAGCTCTAACTGGAGTGGTTCGCAGCCGAGTGTGAAGCGGCCGGGATGAGGATCAGTGCTTCCAAATCCGAGACCATGGTCGTGAGCCGGAAAACGGTAGGGTGCCTTCTCCTGGTCGGGGAGGAGGTCCTGCCCCAAGTGGAGGAGTTTAAGTATCTCGGGGTCTTGTTCACGAATGAGGGAAGAATGGAGCGGGAGATCGACAGGCGGATTTGTGCTGCATCTGAGTGATGCAGGCGCTGTACCGCTCTGTCGTGGTGAAGTGAGAGCTGAGCCAGAAGGCAAAGCTCTCGATTTACCAGTTGGTCTACGTTCCTACCCTCATCTATGGTCACAAACTTTGGGTAGTGACCGAAAGAACGAGATCGTGGATACAAGCGGCCGAAATGAGTTTCCTCTGCAGGGTGGTTGGGCTCTCCCTTAGAGATAGGGTGAGAAGCTCAGTCATCCAGGAGGGACTCAGAGTAGAGCCGCTGCTCCTCCAGGTTGAGAGGAGCCAGTTGAGGTGGTTCATCTGGTTAGGATGCCTCCTGGACGCCTCCCTGGTGAGGTGTTCCGGGCACGTCCCACTGGGAGGAGACCCAGAGGAAGACCCAGGACACGCTGGAGGGACTATGTTTCTCAGCTGGCTTGGGAACACCTTGGGATTCCCCCGGATGAGCTGGCCCAAGTGGCTGGGGAGAGGAAAGTCTGGGTCTCTCTGCTTAGGCTGCTGCCCCTGTGACCGGACCCCAGATAAGAGGAAGAAAACTGACGGATGGACGGATATGTCGCATTCAGACCGTCAAAAAATTGGATTTGGGTTGCATTTGCCTGCAGTGTAAACATATCCAATGATTAAGGACCTAAGGCAAGGATGAGGCATCAAGATTTCTGGATCTTTTTAAGGTTTTTTGCATGGACAATATATTTTAAAAGTGCAAATTGATGTCAAATCAAATAGAGTGTACTTCTTTTTAATTTCCAGGAGGTCATGCTGCCATTGTTACTACAGAACTATATATTTTTTATTTACTCAGCAGCCTGGCGTTTTAAAGATTATAAACTCATTTATTGATTTGCAACCTTTGTTTCTTAAAGAGAATCAGAACGTTGTCAAAGATTTACATCAATTTTCACCAACAGAATTTCCACATGGGCCAGACTTTTGACATCAGTAGTGCCTAACTGTCTGTCTGTCTTTCCGTCCATCCACCCATTACATCTTGCTTACTCAGATGTTTTTTTGTCTCACTCTCATGTCTTTTTGCATTTCAAAGCTCTACTGGCAAAATTGGAATTCTTGCCATTTTTCAACAGGTCTTAACATTTTGACAAGGACTGTATTTTGTATGAACCAAACTAAAAAAATAAATATGCAAGTCAATTAAATTATAAAGCATTAGGTAAAGTTCTCCTTTTGTAATTTAATTGGTGCATTTTTAAGTGTAATTATTTATTTATTGGGACATTTGTATATTCCTGCTTTTATTTTTAATGATGTCAGTTTCAGTCCTCCGTAGTATTTTAGCTCCATATAGACAAGTTTGATTTCAAATCCATTTTCCATTGATGAAAATAATAATTAGATTTGAAAGTATTATTACATTAATAAAGCCTGTTCTGAACTTGGATCTAAATTCTCAGGCAGTAAAAGACAAACACATAGAAACCTTTCTTGAACTCAATCTCCAGCACATCTGGGTCACTCGGAGACTCTTCTGGGTTTTTGGTCATCAGGTACAAGTCGGCTGGAGCATGACTCTGAAAAACAAACCAAACTACAGATTTTCTCTTAAATTTCAGATTCGTTATTCCCCCCTTATGAATACTGAGAACCGGCTTCCAAACAAATTCTGCTCCTGCGATTTGAGAAAATAACAGACAAACTCACAACACGTCGAGTAAAGAGACGGAGAGAACGAGAATGTCAAAAACAAATAACAGAAAAAAAAATTCGAGACTTGAGTGAAGACAAAATGTACTGCTTTTATTTCATGGATGAAGCCTTTCACCACAGGAGAGGGAGGGTATATCTGACAAGAAAGAATGAGAGCTGGAAAAAAAACATGAAGGAAATAACTCATAAGTGCAAAAAAGGCTTGACAAGTCAACAAAAACAACTGATACTATGACAGAATCTCTTTTTTTATGTACAGTTTTAAAGCCATTTTCACTTCCTCTGATCTTCCAGATCTGATTTTCTGATTGACATTTCTCGTTTGATCCATTTTCAAATAAATAATTCTCTTAAATGGACATGGCATGGCAAAATCTTAAAACCAAATCCCACCGAAGTTGTTCTGGCTGACAGACATTTGTCTTTTTTTTTCCAGTTGGCGAGAGCTGGGAGTGATTTCAGTAAGTCATAGTTTGGACCTAAAGGAGCATAGCGGTGTGATGGAGCAACAATTACACAGCATTAGGACAAGACGATGGCCAATGTCCCCTGAGCTGAGGAAAATTGCAGGGGGGGGACTATGCAAAATAACTACTGGGTGCATTTAAATGGAAAGCTTTACCAGACTCTAAATGATCATACAATAACTAATCGGCATCCGCTCGCCGCCTGTCAGCAAGGAGAAAACGAGCAGCGCAATCACTTTCCTTCCTTTTAACTAAACACAAAAATTGACTGGGAAGGCGACCGTCTCCCTCTCCTTTATTTTCTGCCTCAGTGCCCCGAAAGATGCCAAATGAGAGCGAATAGGGAAGGAACAAAATGACTACTCTAAAAAGCCTATTGATGCCTACTCTTTGAGGGAGAGGGAGGGACTGAATGACTACTTTTAGCTGGCTTTTTCAACCTTCAAATAAAACACAGTATAGCACATATAGGAGCTACTGGCTTAAGCAATACCTGTGGTTGTAAGTGTTTTTTGTAAGCTCTGGACAGCTGAATGTTTACTATCTGTAAGGCTTCTGGTTTTTATTTTAACTTTTCTTTCAGCATTTTAAATTTAACTTGATTTAAAATGATCATCTTCAAAAAATTAATTATACTTTAAAAATTCTTACTTTAAAATAATACACAAATAGTACAATGTTTGAAACCTCATCCATCCTCCAAGAGTGACAGTTTAAACTTCTGGACTGCCGGATTGAAAATAAAAGAAAACATAAGGGAATGGGGTTGTTTCTGGTGAGCAGATCAATGCATTTCAATTCAAACCCCCTGCAGGTGGACCTGTCCCAAAACCATGGCCCCTAAAAGAGAGGAAAAAAGGTAAAGATAGAGAAGGCGGGGGGCCGAGGGTATTGGTGGGAAATGGGGCGTGAAGCGCACCATCATGTAGCGTGGAGCAGCTCCTTTGGCAGCCTTTGCTTCAGCGATATTGTTGTGCTAAACGTGCTCCATGCAAGAAGATGAAGAAAAAAAAGGACCCTAAAGCAAGTAAATTTCTATCTTTCCACTTATTAGTTGCCTCATTGGTTTTCAATCAAAACCCAAAAGGGTCCAAAAGAGGCAGAGGTAACAGGAGGGGGTGGCGAGAGGGGCTGGGAGGAGACGGCGAAAAACATCTCTGAAGCAACGGATTGGAAATGATGCTTAAATCACCATGTCTCAAGTCAGACTGTCTGATTAAAATGCAAACATGGCAAACTGAGCCAAGAATAAAACAATGTGCACGAAATGTGATGGAGACGTATTTAAGTTCCCAACACCTAGAATGTTGTTTAAAGTTTAGGTTCATCTGAATGTAAAGATAGCAACAGGCAGAAACGCTGTGATGCTGAAGGACGCAGAGAACGCTTCATGAGTATTTCAGGTCCAGCCTATGGAGCCTGAGGGCGATACGGGGGGCTTGACAAGTTCTGACCTATTTGCTTCAAAGCACACACTCACATGTATACATACACCTACGAGCTCACTTCCTTCCCTGCAGGCGCTTCTGGGACCATCCATCTTTCCAGCGAGCCATGCGACCAACGGCAGCAGACAAGTTTTCATTTCCTCCCAGTGAGCCGAGGGCTTTGCAGCTTTACTCCCCTCGCCCCCACCACCACCTCCACCACGATCAACACGAGCAGCGGCCCATCACCTCCCTCATCAAAGAACTAAGTGGGCTCAGGGAAACTCACTGACAGAGGCCATAATTAAGACTGAGGTAATGTGTTAATGACTCAGGACGAGTGTCAGGCTGCCTGAGGATGTTCCCTGACTGCTCATGTGTGGAGAAAATGAAAGAAAAAAGGATAAGAAGCTCAACTATTATCACACTGTTACATTTGATGCACGTCGTCTTCTAAAACTTCATCGTTACTCTAAAACTCATTTTAATTGTTCTGATATGAACGCATCACATAAACACATTTATTTTAGGTTTGGTAAATAATTTAGTTCTATTTGGCTGAACGCAAAACAAACTCTCAGATATTACTTGTTCAATAAAAGCTGTAAATTTTATTTTTCACACTGTTATATCAGTTTCTTTCAGAACATAGCAAGATTTTTTTTCATTCAAGACTTTAATTGACACAAGGTGAATTCAAACAAATCTGACTGCACTGATTAAAAGACAAATACTCACTGTAAAATAAAACAGACATTAAAATTAATCTGACTCAAAATTAGTAAAACATTTGCATCAATCTTCAAAGATTATGCTGCGTCAGCAGATGTCGCATTATTTTAAAAGTAAATTTATTTAGCTGAGTGTTTTCCTTCTTTTCTTTTCTTTTTTTTTGCTCGTTTAGGCTTTTTTGTGTAAACGTTCATTTTATTTTTCATGGTATACACATAAACTCTCCTTTGAACTTTAACCCTACAACTACACATATATGACTTTTACAACAAACCATTGTTGCTGACACAATTATAGTAGTTTCTTGAAATATTTATGAAGCAGTGATTTCACAATAACCAAAGGAAACTTTTAGAAATTTGGTTTTAAATATGAATTGAAGCAAAATGCTCCAAAGCCAGTAAAATAAAAACAAACTTCCTTTCTAAAATAATTTTCCAAATATGACATGCTACTGTACTGAAGCTAAAAAGCTAACATGAACGTACGATTTCTTGACATTAAGCTGCGTGTCGATGGTGGGAGCATTTCTTCACACAGGTTAATGCTGCCAGATGTAGATGAGCAAGTAAAAGTCTCAAGGCCATCGTGGCAAAAAGGGAAACGAGGTCTGGGGTTATCAGGAAGGATACGGTGTTAATCACAGAGTAACCTGAACTCCTCCGAGTCTTATCTGCAGGAAAACATATGAGCGACCACTGGGACGTTTCCTAATGTGATGGTACTGAGCAAAGAGGGACCATTGTGTCACAGGTGGGGGGAGCTGTGGCGTTTGAATGGTCGAGGTCTGGCCTCAGCCTTTAGGGCTGTAACTGGAGGAGAGACAGCGACCGATACACAGAGGAGATACTTAGTACAAAGTGGCTTTATTTAGATGACCTCCAAGATGGATCGGAATCTAACATGTTGGTTTAAGACTTTAAATTAAATTATGAAAAATAGTTAACAGCCTAAGGACTTAAACCCTACGGCCAAGGCCGGATTAACCATATGGGCAATTGGGCAATTGCCCAGGGGCCCACGGTCTCCAAAGGGCCCTGGGCAGTGAAGGCACGGACACAACGGATGCGGGATATGCGTGGACATGTCTCCCCGCACTTCCTGCATCTGCGCTCTCTGTCCCCGCACTTTTTTCAGCCGTAACAGCTGTTTTATCCATTATTAACGTATGGTAATTCGTTTTTCTGAGCCGTCTTTGAACGTACCATAAGCGTGTGCATGCTACTCCTGCAGATGAGATGACTGATAGGAGCTGCTGTGCTGAGCAGAGCCTCGCGGTGTAAAGAGCAACTAAAACTTGGCACAGTTTTTACCAAACAAACCATGTAAGTTGAGTCATGCTGTTGGAGGCAGATAATGTTAGCTAAATGAWGAGTTACACATTATATAATGTTTAGCTAGTTAACATGATTAGTTGTTGTTATCTGTTACATCCCTTGCCAAGCTAGTTTATAAATGCTAGATAAACCCAATAGTCYTTCATTTCTCTGCAGAAGTCATGCTGGCTGCTTTCCACATATTTAAAATAAATCTTCATTACCACAGTTAAAAAGAACAAGGTCAGGGAGGAGACAGACCAGATAGCCTACAGCAGCAGGGATCATAATGCAGACTTTCCTCAGGTAAGGAGAAATTATGACTATTATTCTTGAAGTGGAACAGTCTTTAAAAACTGGTGTAWAGTTTGAAGTCTCTACTTTTGACATAATTTRTAACAGAGTCTCAGAGAATTAACCACAGAAAGATGGAGGTTAAATCACATGACTGGATCACATGTTGTTGAGAAACCAGACAGGTATCAGGACAGGTTCACAGATATTTCAAAAGTACTCCATACTCCAAAATATATTTTTTATTTTATTATTGTTTCTACTTTGGTCCAAAATAAATCTAGAATTTATAATATTATTTTCTTACTTACCAGTAGTTTAAAAAGAGATGATTGATAGTCTAGTTCAAAAGCAAAAACTGACATGGATGTTTAAAGATGTAGTTTCATTTTTGTTTATTATGTAGATGTATGACATTTTTGTTTATTATTTATTTTCATATATTGACTACTGGATTATTTGTGTTCTTAATGACAGCAGGTTTGGGTCACACAATTTTTCTTTATTTTGCTTAGTTTTGCACATCTTTACGGTCACATTTACTAATGTTGATGTGTTTAGTGTTGTGTCACTGTCTATGTTTTTGCCATTCTTTGTCTTATGAGCCTACATCGAGCTAAGTAATACT